AAACTTGCTACCGTATTTTATACGGTAAAGTTCTGGCAACCACAGCTGCCGGTATTTTACCGTAAATTGAACACTTTTTTTTTACAGTGACCCCATTGCATGCTTTAGTTTACATGAAAATAGTTTAATTAATGATTTGTTTCTGCATGTATAGCTGTATTGAATTAACTGGATTTTTTTATTATTATTTTCAATATTGTCAAAAACTGGCATATTACACACATTGATTTGATTGGATCATGCAAATTGATGCAGTTGACAACTAGACACTCTGAAGTCTAAACTAAAGTCATGATGAGACCGTAATATTGTTCTGTTTGAAATGTTTCACATAATGCTTTTTAAACATTTTAATAGTACACAGAATGCTTGTATTTCCTTCCAAATATATCCATGAAATACTTTTACCAGTCAAAATACCATATTACATTTTACTATTTTATTTTAGATTTGTTTTCAATTTAAAATAATTTTGAATTGTATTCATCAATAATGCTTTAAATTATTCGAAAGTGACTGTAACAATATTTATAATGTTATAAAAGTTTTATAAAAAAATATTTAGCAGCGCAGATGTTTTCAGTGAATGTAATACAGTGCAAATCAGCAGATTAGAGTGATTTCTGAAGGATCATGTGGCTCTGAAAACTGATGATGCTTTGCCATCACAAGATCTTTAAATTGCAATAATATTTCTCAAAATTACTGCTGTTCTTTTATTTTTCATTCAAATAAATGCAGCTTTGGTGGGCACAAGGCTTCTTTCAAACACATTTTTAAAAAGGCGTATTATTACTGTAGCTTTCAAATAATCCCCAGTTTTTCAGTCTGGTTTCACCTTCTGATGACTTGTCATGTTGTTTTAAGGTGTTGCTGTGAATCTACTGTTTGCACAATACTCTCCACTAATTTCCACTGATGTTTGATCATTTGATTTTACAAGTTCACCTCTCTGTTTATTTATACACTAAGCAGTGTCCTTGATGTACTTGTGTGAAGTCCTACCTCTACCATTAACATAGCTGGATATTACGCTCCGTGTTTTCAGGACAGTCGGCTCTGATCTGATTCTCACGTTTGTCACTGATATGAGAGGAATGTTCAGCCTTCCTTACACAAAGAGCTCATTGATTGTGTGTGTTTGTCGGGTGAAGATCAGCGCTTGGAGTTGTTGGGTATATTGTGGCCTGTGCTCTTATTATGCAACGTTCACTTTGATTACTTTATTATTCCGTTTTGTCAAGGGCACGGTATCGTGACAACAAGTCACATTGTTTTCTCTTGTCACCGTGCATTTCTTTTTCCAATCAACATGAGGACAGTGTTTAGTCTATTATATAAATCTGCATTGATTTTATGGGAAAAGTTGTAGAATTAATTCATTAAAAATGAGTGGTACATTAAAATAATTGTTTATAAATTAAAAATATACATTTTCACGAAACTTAGCAACTACGCAATGCCCTGGCAACAAACCACAATAGTCTAGCATTGGTTACTTTTTCTCTGGCAAGTATGCCTACCTCTTTTTTTTTTCATTGTATTCATAATAATATTTCTAAATGTTACTGTTTTTGTATCAGATAAAAGCAGCTTTGGTGAGCATTAGAGAGACATCACAGACAGTGTGTTTCTCTCATCATGAGTATGTGACATTAAGAGCTTGTGGTCTGGAGAGATGATTGGATCTGTTTTTTTGCCTATCAGCCAAATCTTCATGGTAATTATGTGTCTTTATTGCTCAGTGGGAGGTTGTTGTAACACCGCCATGTCTTATCGTTGTCAAAGCTAGACCTTCATCAGAGGAGCTTGTAGTTTTTGATATGAAGATTTGTGTACCCTTTTTAAAGTGTTTTTGTTGGAAAATCTAGGTCTGAAGTAAACTAGGTCTGTGTGTTGTCAAACACTTCCTTTATCAGCTAAGGGCATCTATGCCAATGGAGCTGCCAAAACCCATAAACATTCCAAACCTCCCTATGTGTCATACACAACTTGCCTTGCCTTTTCTTGTGTCTCCAGACAGGTTTAACGGTCTCTCTCTCTCTCTCTCGCTCTCTCTCTAATACATTATAAACATCATTTGCACTCTTTCCTGTTACAACATTTTTATTAGGGATGCACCGATACCATCTTTTTCAGAATCTATTCGATCCCATACCAAAAATTCTGAGTATCGTCCGATACCGATCCGACACCAGTGCAGTTTTTTTAATCAAGTATTAGAATATAAGAATTTCTATAACTCTGTGTGTTGATCTGATAATCACTCTTGTGTGTGTTAAACACAATGTACTTAATACAGACTTAACTTAATTATAAAGATAAACAACAAATCCCAAAAATATATGATCATAATCTATGACAAAAATGCTATAAACTAGATTAGTGGACAATACACATTGCTCTTTGTATTGTTTTAAAATACATTTATGAAAAACAAGATGACAAAAATTTAGAAAGATAAATTATTTTAGAAAGAGCCATGGCTACTATAAAATTGAGACAACATGTTTTAAATGTATAGCACAGATGTTTAATGAGGCAGCAACATATAATACATAGGACAGAACAAGAAAGGCTATTAATAATCTGTCATTGCGTCACTGCATTATGATATAAAAAAAGGCTCAGTACAGTGCGGCACAAAGCGCTTATGCGCATCCCGAGTGGAGAATGATGCGCTTGAAGCCACACGGAGTTCTTGAAAAGTTCAAAGCACAAAGGAAATGCATATTGATAGACAGTGTATTATACAGTATCTATTTATGCAATAGTTTATTGAGCCTTTTCTTTTAACAGTTTTAAAATTTCAGTTACTGTGCACGTGAAGAATAGTGCTCTGACTCTAGTGTTGTGATCTAAACGACAGCGTCCGACACCTGGTAGAAAGTAGCACGATTAAGTCCAGCAAGATAAAGTTTTTTTTATGCAAAACCATAGACCTTTAGCTACAGATCAAGTATAATAGTATTAACATTGAATCATCTTGAAGATAGTTTCATCATTGACTGTAACCGAATGCGACGTGCTGTTTGAACACTGATGGAGAATGACTGACAACCGCAGCGGAGGGAAAAATTTATGTGATCTTAAATTGACTTAAATGTTAATTTCTATCTCACATAATGGCTTCAGGACACTTATAATACAGTGCACGAAGACTTTGTTACTTTAGAATATTTTTGTGCTTTTTGTGGGGTTTAACAATAACACATAATAGTATACACACATTATAGGATTTGAATCGGCCTCGTCTGATCGAGACCCGATCCGAATGAAATGAAACTGAAGCACATTTCTACACTGCATAATGTGTCTGTCCTTATGGCTACAGGTACTTGGTTTAATTGAAAAGTTTTGTATACCTCACCTGGGTGTCGCTGCATGCAAATCCCAGTGAGCTCATGGCTTGTTTGAGTCAGAGTTTCAGTATCCATATAACTTTTCTGAATCTACCCCTGTTGTTACTTGTAATTGTGACTCATTAGGTTGTTGAAATGATTGTAATTGTTATGTCAATCTATTTTAGCAACATATTATACTTGCACTGTGTAATCTCAGACTATACATATTTAGGGAATTACAGTTATTGTGCTAAGTATATACTGAATCATATCGTGAGAAACGGAGTCTGTTTTGTGAACACATAGTGGAGCGGGTAGTATGTTACCATGTAGAAGTGCCATGTTGACTTTCTGTAGTGTGTTTTTGTTGTTGGATTCAATGTAGAGTGTTCTTACACTTTTGGGTTTAATACATCACCGAGTTCATTACTCATTTTGTTGAAACGAATTCCATCTATTTTAAACATAATAATAAATATAGCTGCAAGCTGCATGTATTAGGACCAAACTCAAAAGAAAGCACAATGATTTATGCAGTCGTGGCTGTGAACTTCAGAGCAACAGCAACAAGTAATTTTTGTTTTTATTTTACTCAAAATGACAGAAAAATCACAAATACAATCACATAGAATATGATTATTTGTGATTATGATTAATTTGATAAATTGTTTATCGCTTTTGACCAATAGGTGGCGCTGTAACCAAATTTATGTTGTGTGGTCAGTGTGAACAGACAATGACACAAAAGTCAAACCAACTTTCCTGCAAGCTGCCATAAAAGGCTTCCGCACCGGAGGAACCTTTTCATAGTCCCCAAAACTATTGGCGGAAGTACCTGAATTTTGGCATGTTCGCACCGCAGGAACTAGGAACGAGTTTAGTTCTAGGTAATCCTTTTGGAGGAACTAATTTTGCTCCTACTTCAGGTTAGGGCCTAATCCAGCACTTTAGGGAACTACCAGTGATGCTGATTGGCCGAACCCACGCGAAACACCAACACTCCCCATTTTTAAAAAAGCAGTGTAAACTAACAGAATATAGCCTATATATTTACTCCAGAAACTGTGAACTTGGAAAACAGTGATGGACGGACCTCTTAACCTTATGCTAAGGAGAAAATCCAACACAACTTGACATTATTATGCATTTCTGCTCAGCCAACAACACTGGACATCAACCGCAAGACATACGCTAATGACTTTTCACATACCGTCTAATTTCTATGCATAGACTTTCTATCTAATAACGTATTAGACAGGACTGTTAGACAGATCGTAAACTAATGAACACAGAGAATTCGAGCACTGTGTGGTTCTCAGTGCCGTCAAAATAAAGGCGTCACCTCGGAGTTCCTACGGGGCGGTGCGATGCAACCAGGAAAACGTTCCTTGGGGAACCATTAGTAAAATTAGTAACCATTATTACTAATCAAATTTAAAATATAAAAAGCATTCTGTTCTAAGTTGTATTAACATAAAATGTTGCATGTGGTTTTTTTTTCAGTATTTGACTACATACTTATGCACAACATTAGAATTAGCCTTTTTTTTATTAATTGCATGATTGAAGTACAAAATCTGCAAAAAAATAAAATTAAAAATGGACACCCAGTTATAGGCCTGGAACAACTTCTTTCTGTTTCCTCCTCCTCCCCAGATGATGAAGTCGATCATAGTATGCCAGAGAGTGATGAAGCACATCCAGCAGCAGGAACCCCTTCGGCAAAGGGCAAGGGCAAGTTCTCCAACTTTGGCAAGATCTTCAAACCTTGGAAGTGGAGAAAGAAGAAAAGCAGTGACAAGTTCAAGGAAACATCAGAAGGTACTTGTACTTTATATATATATATATATATATATATATATATATATATTTATTTATTTTTTTACTAATTTGACATTTTAATTTTCTAAGACCTTTTTTAAAAAAAACTTTTTATTTTTTCTATTATTTTGTGGTTTAAATGAAAAGATTTTATAAATGGGGGAATGAAAAAAAATTGGCAGTTGTTTAACTTTTGAGGTAACAGTATCCTATATGCATTTTATACAAAACAGTGACTCCAGCACTCATGTTCTGATCTTTTTTCTTCTTCTTCTATACTACAAACTAACAAAATGCAACTTTCCAAAGCATTGCAGATTAAAGTAGTCCCTAAAACTCACTATCTTGCAAAGCCTGCTGCTGGAGAGAATAATGTGCGTATCTGCTCTCTTTCTGAATGATTAGTGCTGGAGAGGAAGATTTCGATGAGGAAACCTAGGGAGGAGCTGATAGAGCGAGGGTTACTTAAGGACATCCCAGAGAATGGTATGGCAAACTAGCAGTGTCAATGTTCCTGGTCATGTTTTTATGTATTATGTGCTGAATTGTCATTTAAAGGGTTAGTTCACGCAAAAATGAAAATTCTGTCAGTATTTACTCACCCTCATGTCGTTCCAACCCCGTAAGACCTTCGTTCATCTTCGCAACACAAATTAAGATATTTAAGATATTAAGATCGCTCCATAGGCTTCTTGAGGGAATGACTCTTGCTGGCATCGAAAAGTCATTAAAGACATCGTTAAAATAGTCCAAGTGGCTCAATCTTAACTTTATCAAACGACGAGAACACTTTTTGTGCGCAAAAACAACAAAAATAACGACTTTATTTCAACTATTGGTTTATTTCTCCCTCTGCGTGAGTCAGGTTACTAGTTTAATAGCGTAAGCTTCTGTTATTGTACGTCACACGCATCACACACATGACCAGCGTCGGCCAATAGTGAGCCTACGTGTGACGTAGCTTTACGCAATCACACTACGTTAACTGACTACAGGCCCATGGAGAAGGAAGTGAATAGTTGAAATAAAGTCGTTATTTTTGTTGTTTTTTGCGCACAAAAAGTGTTCTCGTCGTTTGATAAAGTTAAAATTGAGTCACTGTAGTCACTTGGACTATTTTAACGATGTCTTTAATGACTTTTCAAGGCCAGCAAGAGTCATTCCCTCAAGAAGCCTATGGAGCGATCTTAATATCTTAAATATCTTAATTTGTGTTCTGAAGATGAACGAAGGTCTTGCGTGGTTGAACGACATGAGGGTGAGTAAATACTGACAGAATTTTCATTTTTGGGTGAATTAACCCTTTAAAATAATGGAAAAAATTCTATGTGATTCTACAGTAAAATAGGTTTCTTTAAAAAAAATGGAAATTTAGATTAGTCTTTTCTTTCCTATTTTGACATCTATACACACTTTTTTGTTTTTTCTTTGTTCTCAATCCATTACCCAATCTGTTTCAGAGAGTAATGACGTGAATCATAAAGCTCCACCAGTAAAGAATGGCCACACTGCTCCGCTACCTGGAGAACGCAGGTCAAACACAGGATTGGAAGTTAAGGCACCATCTTCACGAACACACGGAGAAGAACAGAGGAACAGCCTCGCACCGGAACCGGAGCGGCGGAACCGAGCACCTTCAGACGTCAGTCGCAACCGTCAGCCGCTGGACGTGGACGCTCGGACGCGGTTACCACCTGAAGCCGAACGACGCAGCCGACTAGAGTCGGACATGGAAAGACATGCGGGATCGTTACCGAGAGAGAGACCAGGACAAGAGGAGGGACGATATCGGCGGGACGACCGAGACGAGAAACGAAGGGATAGAAAAGATGACAAGGACATTAAGCCTGAACGTAGAGATGATCGAGACAGACGAGATAGGAAGCCGGATAGAGAGGACTCGCACGGAAGAGGTGAGCGAGATGAACGCGAGAAAGAGAGGAGGAATGACAGAGAAAAAGACTGGAGGGAAAGCAGGGACAAGAAACCACCACGAGACAGGAAAGAAGATCATGAAAGGCGAGATGAGCCCGAGAGAGAACGTAAGGAGCTGACTGAAAGGAGGGAAGACAGGGAAAGAAGAGAGGAACGGGATAGACATGAGGAAAAAGATCGAAAAGATGACCGAGAAAGGAGAGATGTCAGGAGACCAGAACCTATGAAACAGGTGTCTGATGGGATACTAGTCAGGCCTCAGTCGGAACAGGACTTGCGGCACATTCTTCAGAAGAGCTCGTCTGACATTGGACCCAAGTTGCGTCCGGTTTCGGAGGCCATCCAGAGCAGCACGCTGCCACGATACACACCTGCAGAGGAGGAATCAAGGGCACGAACAGGTAAAATTCCCACCCAGCTCGCTTCATTCATGACAATAGATTTGTGGTCTCACAACATCTGAGGTTTACTAGAGGACTCATGTTAATATTCACATACATCTAGGGCTAAAAAGAAATACCGTCACACTGGATGTGGTGCACTTGCGCTACTTTCGTCAAGACAAATGAATAAGCATAAAGTGTGGTTTCCCAAACTCGGTCCTGGAGGGTCACTGTCCTGTACCTGAGTGAGTTTCTACTGATCCTGAAGACCTTGATTAGCTTACTCAGGTGTGTTTGATCAGGGTTGGAGCTAAGCCAGAGGATGTCTAATTGAAGAGAATTGGCACTGGCTGGTTACTTCCGGGTTCTGGACTGGCTGCAGTAACGCGTCTCTGTCCATGCGGGGGCGCTCGCGGTCGAGTGCAGAATGAATGGGAGTCAATGGGGTTTCACCCACAGAAATCCACTTTTCTCAGGATGTAATTTTTTGTCAAGTAATTTGAAAGTTGCATTCAAAAGGGAGGGCTAAGATAATACACTCAGCTGAAAACTGCATTTTTAGGTTCACTTATCTGTTCTAAAAATCCGTTCAAAACTGTGATGACGTCACACAATAGCAGAATGCTAGCGCGATCCGGCCAACAACGGCCTAACCTGTAAGAAATCAAAAGGACATAAGTACTCGTTCATTCGACTTTAGGCCTATAATCTATATTGAACTTGCGGAATCAACAATAAAATCTATTTTGATTTAACGACAAGCAGGTGAAAGTCATAGACATATACACTAGACCTCACCTTGGCTACGGCAGTTCATTGGAACGAATGCGTCAATAGAGCCGCCATCTTGAAACAGGGGAGCCCCTCCACTTTAATGCATCAGCGTCAATGTAGTAGACACCGGTCTAACGGAAATAAAATCACCATAAATCACCATGAATGCGATTTTTCTTGTTTTTTTTTTTTGGTTTGTTCCAACGTTCAGACATGTATTTATCATTGATTCCAGAAAGACATTTTTTTTTTTTTTTTAAACATTCTTCCTAGTTCAGATTTCATCCGTGAACTTCATACGCTGCACAAAAGTCCGCCACCATCAATGAATTCGAAGTAAAGGCAGAGATAGCAGCGTTACCTAGCTACTTCCTATGACAAGACCCCTGTTCCAAGATGGCGGCGGTTTTGACGCATGCTTAGAACCCCAAGGTGAGGTCTAGTGTATATGTCTATGGGTGAAAGAGACACATTTAGCCATTTAGCCCCATAGACTCTCATTCATTCTGCACTCGCCCGTGATCACCTCCAGTGGAATTCTAATGGAACTGCAACCAAGATGATACACAACTGGGCTAATAGGAAGTGCCAAGGCTCTCCGTTAGACGGGCTCTGAGCTAAGCTCTGCAGGGACAGTGACCGTCCAGGACCAAGTTTGGGGTCATTTGAACGACTGGTTGACTTCCTGAGTTTATGAAACCACTCCCTCAGAAACAGGCAGTGGGCTCCGATTGGTTCGTTTGGGCCGGTGTGTTGTGATTGGCTAAACTGTAGCTCACGTTGTCCGGAAGGTTAATGCCCATTACCTTTACGGGCGAAACGTGCATGTTCTCCGGTCCAACGTACAGTAAATAATGGTGTCGATACTGCAGTATCCGAGCCAGATTCAGACCCAGAAAGCGGCGATGAAGAGAGTCAAGCAGAACCTCCCTAAACTCGGCTCTTAAAAACTCGGTTCGGTTTCTCAATGGTAATTTGTCTATGTGTATGGTGTCTTGTTTTTGCTCTCAGGATAAAATTACAGTAGTGTGTCTGTGCCACAAATACATTTACTTGAGCTCTTCAAAGCAGCTTATATTATGTTCTTGAGAAACAGCTTAGCTGTACCAAAGAGTTTCAAGAGTTTGACCGTACAATTCATGCAATTCTATTCAAAATGGGGGTGGGGGAGAGAGAAAAGATATGCAGTTGCTCACTGTGTGGCTGAAATTTTGCTCAAAGCACAATGGTGTTAAAGACCCCATGAAACAGCTGGATTCCAGTGTTGGGATTTTAACAATTGAAACCGTTGAGGTGGATTCACCCCAAGTATGTTGTTTAAAACTTTAAATAAAAGCCAAAAATCTCCCATTTGTTGGTTAAAGGGATAGTTCACTTTGAAATTAATTTTTGATATGTTTTATCTATAGTATTTTGACATTTTTCAGTCAAACCGTTGTTGTCTGTCAGTCATACACTGGAGGCTAAGGGGGTCCACCAAAGAGCAGCACAGAGAAGTCCAAATTAAACATGATTTAATGACTCGTAAATGTAAGTACACACTGATGGCCTAAGACACGAAACGAGCGGTTTGTGTGAGAAAACCAACAGTATTTATATGGTTTTTACCTCTTGTAATCACAGCCATGACAAAATGATCTGACGGCAGAAGTGATCGCTTGCGCGTCTATACGTCACTCTTTGTTTATACAGAGATTTCGGAAGTTTTACCTTTCACTAAACATATTTAGATATACGGGAAACCGCAATGGAAGATGATTTCGGTATATCTAAATATGTTTAGTAAAGGGTAAAACTTCCGAAATCTCCGTGTAAATATTGAGTGACGTCACACGCAAGCGATCACTTCCGGCGTAACATTGAACTGATTCAGTTCGGTTCAGTTGGACATTGAACAACTGATTCAGATCACTGTGATTACACGAGGTAAAAACGATATAAATACTGTTGGTTTTCTCACACAAACCGCTCGTTTCGTGTCTTAGGCCATCAGTGTGTACTTACATTTACGAGTCATTAAATCATGTTTAATTTGGACTTCTCTGTGCTGCTCTTTGGTGGACCCCCTTAGCCTCCAGTGTATGACTGATAGACAACAACGGTTTGACTGAAAAATGTCAAAATGTCAAATACTCCATCTACATCTTGGATGCCCTTGAGGTAAGATAAAACATATGAAACATTAATTTTAAAGTGAACTATCCCTTTAATGGGGTCTTTAAAGTGCTCCTGCATCTCACCGCCACTGTTCACATGCAATGCCTGCTGTTGTGATTGTGCTGTGCACTTGTGTGTATTGTGTTAGCTGTGTTTATGTATGTTTGTGCATGTGTCTTGTTCTCACCATTAGGATCACTGGGTGTGCGATTTCTCCCTGAGCCCAAACCTGCAACTACCTTCACTAAAGAGTCACAGCCACCCAATAAACAGGCCATTCTCCCTCCCAAATGGCTGATGGCTGCTTCCTCCTCCTCCGAGCTTGCTCCAGTCCCCTCCTCACCCCCTTCCTCTTCCTCATCATCATCATCGTCATCTTTATCAGCATCGTCGTCCGCTGCTCCTCCCATTGCTAAACCTCCTCCTCGGACTGTGTCTTTAAATGTAGACGACTCCTCCCGCACTAATCCCATTCCCCCTGTGACAGCGGGAGACTGGGAAGCCCCGCCCACTGTTCCCACCCACTCCACCCCGCCCTCCGTTCCCGCCCACTCCACCCCTGCAGTCCCTAATGCTGCTCCTAAACAGCCACCAGTGCCCCCACCCAAACCTGTCCATCACAACAGCAACACTGCACTGCAAGGTGAGTCATTATTTGTCTTGTTTTTGGCTTCTGCTCCAAGTTGCTACTGTAGATTAGATGTGGCTTCATGCTGCTCTCTTCAGAGACCTTAGCCAGAGTCGACACCACTGGGAGTTGTGGGAGTTTGGCCTGTTCAGTTTGTCTAGTTTGTACAATTGTTATCCTGCGGGGAAAGGTTTTTGTGAGTTCATCATAAAATTGTATGAAATGTTTTCTATTTTTTTTTTTCTTTTTAAAATCCTTATCCTTTAATCATAAATGTCTAGAAAAATAATTGTTTAGAGTAACTCGGTCCAGGTTCATGATAATCTTCTTAATAAAGAAATGTCGAATTTGGAATTAAAGTTAAATTCCAAAAGTTCTTGAAAATGTTTTGAATTCTCAAATATTTTCTTAATTGCACCATACAGTAAAATATTTGGATAAAAATATCCAAAAACCACTAGAACAGTTTATATATATATATTTATGACATTTGAAATGTGAAATTTTGTTCCAGAATGACCATTTTTATCAAGCTTGTGTATTTAAGTTCAGTAATTTCACTTAAATGACAATTAATACGTAATCTTCATTGCCATTTAAGTGAAATCACTGAACTTAAATATACAAGCTTGATAAAAATGATCATTTTAGAAGAACATTTCAAATGGCATTTAGAGGCTTTTGCATCTGAACTCTTCATATGCAAAAGCCTCTAAATGCCATTTGAAATTTTCTTCTTTAATGATGATTTTTATCAAACTTGTATATTTAAGTTCAGTAATTTCACTTAAATGGCAATTAATAGGTAATTATCATTGCAATTTATGTGAAATCACTGAACTTAAATATACAAGCTTGATAAAAATGATCATTCTAGAAGAAAATTTCAAATGGCATTTAGAGGCTTTTGCATCTGAACTCTTCATATATATATAAATATTTGGGATAATTTAAGTACACAAGTCAACATATATTATTATATATATATATATGTTGACTTGTGTACTTAAATTATCCCAAATGTTTAAATCCAGAAAAATCAGCTGTTTTAAACCATGTAAAAAAGGAAAAGGAAATCAAGGCTAGCGCGGATATGACGTGATTGACAGGCGACGCAATGGCACGGCTGATCACATCTGTCTTTCTTGCACTCTCTCTGTGATAGCGCTGCCCGAGTGAACATGTCTTGTATGGCATGTAATTATAACATTTAAAACAAGGTCTCTATTGAGTCACTTCTGTAGAGTTGTTACTGGATTTCGAATACAGCTAAATCACAGACAATCATTGTTATATTTCATTAGTGTCACTTCATAGTATTATTGAATTGATTGTATTATATAAGTATTAATTTGTATTAAATAGAGTTATGTTTTGTACAAAATATTTGTACAGGTTTGTACAAATATTTCATATCATATTCAATCAGTTCTGAGGAGATTAGTGCTTTTCATTTTCAGTTTATGCATTTATGCATTTTAGAGGTTTAGAACTGAAAATAAAGTAAAGTTAATTAAGTCAACTCTATAAATTATACTTTTAGGTTATCCTTTTACAAACAGCCCATGGTTACCCGCAGTTACGAGTCATCCAAAAAATTTGAATGGTATTCGGGTCGCGGTCGGTCAGGTGGTTTGAATAAAGATGCCAATGAAACCTTTGTATTTATATAGTACAAGACACAATTTTCTATGAAATATATAGGCCTACTACACTTTATTGGCTGAATAACTGGCACGAGGATGACACACAAGCTCAGTCTAAACAGTTCTGGGTTCTGTACTGGTGATCCGAGAACCGCTGTATACCTGTGCGTTCGGTAGTACGTGGAGTATCGGCCGCTCATCAACAGGAAAGGAATGATGGCCTATGTGTTTAGCGAGTCAGGTGTGTTAGACTCTGAAGCAGACACACAGAGGAGTGTTCAGTGAGACGGGCAGGCTTAGACATGTCTCTGTGCTGTTTGTCCTGCTCTGCTGGCACTGTGTTCACTGAGTCTCTCGACACACCTGTCTCTCTCTCTGGGCGCTGCAGGAGCTTTGGCTTCTGTCCACAGTTCTGAGAAACTTCTCAGCTACACTCTAAAAAATGCTGGGTTGTTTTAACCCAACTTTGGGTCAAATATGGACTAACCAGCCGTTGGGTTTAAATTTTTACATTACATTTTTAACCCAAACATTTCGGGTTTGTCCATATTTGACCCAAAATTGGGTTAAAACAACCCAGCATTTTTTAGAGTGTACACTGAGGCACTGTTGTAACACAGGTTTTATACTTTGAAAAACAAACAAAAACATGATTTTGGTGTGAAACAAAGTGCATCAAATTGCATGTGTGTGATGTTTCTATATGACTCAAGTGTCCCTGTGTGTCCTCCATAGCAGCTGATGTGACAGACGTGAGAACTCCCTGTACTTTTGTTCTCAGACCTAATCAGTACAGTACAACAGAACAGTTCCAGATGTATTTTTTTTCCTGTTTGTTTTCTCTATTTCAGAAAATCAATTAAGTTTAATTTAGATGTTTAATTGATTCAGTGAGTTCAGTCCAATAATTTGCTGCATTCATACTAGAGCCAGATCGATATATCGGCAGACCGATATTATCGGCCGATATTAGGCATTTTCCAAACTATCGGTATCGGCAGTTATAATGGAAGATAAATGAATATTTCAAAAATAAAATAAAAACGGACGAAACACGCTTGAACCATGTCATGAGTGTTGGAGTTGTATAGTTTGTCCACCAGAGGGCGCTCTACACCGTTCCTGTTGGCAACAGTCGTTGAGTTGGTCACGATACATACATCGCTTGAATAAAAATTAAAAGAACATCCGCATCAGTTCTCTGAACTCAAATAAGCAGGACAAAATTTGGGACTATCATGTCCAGTTTAAAAAATAAATAAATAAAATATCGGCCGATATATCACATTTTAAAACCCAAAAATATTTGTATCGGTATCGGCCTTCAAAATCCTTTATCGCTCGGGCTCTAATTCATATGCTGTTTATTTGGATTAACTTAAAATAGATGAGACCTCATTCTGACAGCTGGACCAGTATCTTTGAGGAGAGATAACTTTAGACATGCTGTGGCCCAGCTGCTCGAGTGTTAGAAACACAACACACGACCCCTCTCCAACAGGGTCCATTTATAGACTCCCTAGTCCAGAGACCAGGACAATCCCATCTCAGTATAGTCGGTACCATTTGAGTAATTGAGTGTTTCCCCCAGATTTGTTTATACTGGCTTCATTGTTGGGAATTTGGGACTTGTTTTTAAATCATAATATGTTCTCACTTACTTTTTAGTAAAGTTCATTGAAAGGCTTTGAATTTGTGTTAAGCCTACTTGAACACAATTTAAGCTGAAAGTGTGTCCTTCTGGACCACTAATAAGACCAAATAGAGTTGTATATAATCTAAAATGTCCCATGTTCCTTTGTACTCTTGCTATTGGTTGAGCCAGATGATTACATGTTCTTTCTTAATTTACTCACCCTCTGGTCTTTCCAAGACAAGAGTTTTGTTCATGTTCAAAACACAAATTAAAATGATTTAAATTAAAAAAATATACATTTGTAATGAAACTTAATTTTAATTAAAGAGTTTTCTGCCCCTTATTTGAAAGTCCAAAATGCTTCAAAAAGTGCATAAATACATTGTAAAAATCTGTTTGAAGTGAACATGGTTGCTTTATTTATATGCTAAACAGATTTCATTTGAGCTTTGATATACAATGATCAGCGAACATGCATAGACCACTCAAATATGGTAAACGGAATTTAATATTTTCACATTTTTATAATTTCATATTTTCAAATTTGGTTACTTTGGACTTTTAAATAAGGGGCAGAAAACTCCTTAATTAAAATTAAGTTTCATTACAAATATATTTTTTTTTTAATTTAAATCATTTTAATTTGTGTTTTGAACATGAACAAAAATCTTGTCTTGGAAAGTAAATTATGAAAGGACATGCAATCATCTGGCTCAACCATAAGCAAGAGTACAAAGGAAGACAGGGATCATTTATACAACTCTATTTGGTCGTATTAGTGGATGCATGAAAACAAACCTAATTTTACCAAATGTATGTATGTGCATTGGTCAATGTTTATATGTGAATAAAAGCCTTTAAGCAGGAGGTTTTAATGGCTGTCACCTGTTGAACTAGACCAGTGTCCAACAGTGCTTGTGATTGTTGTAAACATAATGAAACCCTTCATTCGCCCCGAAGTGTCGACGTTACACAGATATTACAAAGCTCCGCCTCCTCAGTATTGGACAAGCTGGAGACAGCAGGGCAAGTCTGGAGTCTATCTGTCCCTGCCCACCTACCTCAGCCAAAGGGGCGCTCGGCTCCACCCAGGTAGCCCTGGTGTTTGCCCATCCCGCACCAGCTGGCATGCATGTCCTAATGTTCTAATAACCTCACGTAGATGTGCTTAACATCACACCCATACTCAACATCATTTTGATTTCTTCTCCAAATCACTACGATTACTGAGAACAAATGAATGAAATTCAGTTCATCCGATTTAAAAGACGTGACCAATAACCAGTAATGAAGATTAAATTCAGACTCAATTTTGATGACACCTGAACATGCACCTGTGTACTAATGTTTCACCCTCACTTGACTGAGTGTCACTCAAGTTGTTTGGTGTAGGTTTGGAGGCAGTGGCTGTTTCTAACATTGAGTTTTTTGGCCTGCTTTTAGGCATGCAAGCATGTTAACTGCAAGTGCAAACTTAACGTGCATTATCTCAGGACTTAAAGGATTAGTTCACTTTTCGAAAAACTTTTGCTGATGTCATCCAAGATGTCCATGTCTTTCTTTCTTCAGTGGAAAAGAAATTAAGGTTTTTGATGAAAACATTCCAGGATTTTTCTCCTTATAATAGACTTCAATGGGAACCAAATGGTTCAAGGTCCAAAAGAAACTTTCAGTACAAACTCCAAACTTGCTCAAAGGGCTTTAAATGATTCCAGACGATAAATAAGGGTCTTATCAAGTGAAACGATCGCTCTTTTTTTTTTAAATAACAAAGTTTAAGTTTTATAAGCTCAAATGCTCGCCTTGCTCTGTTCTGTAACGCACTCCTGTTCAAACTCGTTCATCAAAATGAACAAATCTTTTTCCGAATCAATTCGTTCATTTCTTTCGCCGAATGAACCAAATGACTCGAAAAAAGATTTGTTCATTTTGATGAACGAATTCGAACAGGAGTGCGTTACAGAACAGAGCAAGGCGAGCATTTGAGCTTATAAAACTTAAACTTTGTTATTTATTTATAAAACGAGTGATCGTTTGGCTTGATAAGACCCTTATTCATTGTCTGAAATCGTTTAAAGCCCTTTGAGCAAGTTTGCAGTTTGTACTGAAAGTGTCTTTTGGACCTTGAACCGTTTGGTTCCCATTGAAGTCCATTATATGGAGAAAATCCTGGAATGTTTTCATCAAAAACCGTAATTTCTTTTCGACTGAAGAAAGAAAGACATGGACATCTTGGATGACACGGGGGCGAGTAAATTATCAGCAAAAGTTTTTTCAAAAGTGAACTACTCCTTTAAGATGGCGGATATTTTCTTTACATGTCTGAGATGTTATTCTCTACAATAACGCGCATTGATGAATCATGCACAACAAAACCAGGTACATGTTTTACGAATCTTAAGTAGGGTCCGTTTTGATTTCATGTTCACTACAACTAAGGCCTGATTGAGAGAACAGACCTCTGAAGTAGGATGTTTAAGAACTAGGGGTGTCACGATTTCGATATTAAATCGAAATCGATCGAAATTAATTCAATGGTATCAAAATCGAAATAAAAAATGGTATCGTCGATACTGCCACGCCCCATGTCGCGTCCGTGATGGAAAGTTCGGATCGTTTTACTGACTCTATTGTTCAATCTCGTTCATCAAAATTAACTAAACTTTTTTTCTAGTCATTTCAGGGGCTTTAAATGTTATACTATTAAGTTATGTTACTTGTTTTTGTTCTATTTTAAATTTGGCAATGGTGTAGTGTACATTGTGAACAAATTTATATTGCATAATGCATAAATGTGTAGTCTAAAAATTGCATAGCAATCTGCGCTTTACATTTTTTTTAAAATCGAGAATCGAATCGAATCGTGACCTTAGAATCGATAACTTAATCGAATCGAGGATTTGGAGAATCGTGACACCCCTATTAAGAACCGTTTATTAAGTACAATAACTGTATTATTTTCCGCACCAATATAACTTTCTATATACCACTATAACATTCATTTATCAGCTGGAAAATATTTCAGACAATATTCCTTTGTCATTATCATTGTAGCTATGGTGTGGACGTTCCTTTTACTCAATTTAGCATATTGAAACTTTATAGGTATTGTTATCAGGATCTAGCTCGTTCTGAACAGTCATTTCTAGCTGGATGCCTTGTGTTTTCCCAAAGGGGAATGTTTCAGATCTTATTATCAAACAAGCTCCCAGAATATTAGAATCTAGAATATGAAATCCCTTCCAATCCTGAACTAATACCTGTTTGATTAATTCCATGGCATGCAAATTAATAACTTGGCTGATAAAATCCTATCTTGGCAATTCTGTACAAACTTATGTGCTTTAACACTTTTCTCTGTAAAGTTAATTTTGATTTTTACTTTTTTCTTCAGTGGATCCGTCTCAAGTCCCAGTCAAGCGATCTCCTCCCATTCCCCCAAAGAGGATTACTCCTGTGACCAAACGCCACTCGGACGACTCGTCCGCCAATCAGCCTGAGGCTCCACCCCCAGGCCCTTCCTCCACCCCAGTTCCAGCCCCTCCTCCTGCCCAATCAGATGTCAGCAGAAACTCAAACTCTGAAGCAGTCTCTCCTCCGCCAAGCCATATTCCACCATCCCCTCCTCGCTCCCACCCGCCTCCTGAAGTGGACCCGCCCAGCCCCACCACAGACCCGCCCTCCCAGCTGCCCTTACCTCTGCACATACGCATCCAGAGAGCCTTGAACAGCCCAGGCCCGGTCCAGCCCAACCCGGAAGGATCCCAGCGAGCTCACTCACTTCTCTTTGAATCACCGCCAGAGTTTCTCGCTGAGGCTCCAGGAGGGGGACGATTCTCGCTTCCTGTCACTATCGAACCTCTGCGACTGTGAGTGTACATATCAGTTTATCTCAGAACACAATGATCTCTGCCCTTGTATGATTTCTAACAGATTGAAAAACCTTTACACCCCAGAACGAAATGTTCAGTCTCAACAATAGAAATCGCCCAATGGCAGCCAGCGACACGTAAAAAAACATTTGGGACAGTTGTCACAAAATGTTATAATTTGTATGAGTTTTTAACCCCTTAACTGGGGGTTACTGGGACGCCTAACTTTACTTCACTATGTTTCTATTAAATCTTAATCTAATTATGACAAATTATATATTGTTGGAAAGACTTCTAAATAGATATTCTACCCCTGTTTTGTGTTACAAATTATGTAGGAAGAGTAATTGATGAATTTATGACAAAAGTGCTCCTCAAAAAAAGGTCTGACCTTTGTCACAAAAAGTCGATGCACCCACTTTTTTTCATTTGTGCTAAAAGTTAATAATAAAACATATAATCTAGTATTTTTCAATAAAAAATAAAAAAATGATAGTATAATATTATCCTCTAAAAATTATATTTTTTATCGCCTTTTTTATTATATTACATATTTTAGTAGTTATCATAAATTAGGTTATCATTTGAAAGCTTATAAACGCATCCTATGAAAACTGAATGTTACGTTACCATAGAAACAATGATTTGGGCATCATTATATTTCATAATTTATGATCAAAATCTTTTCTAATCTTGACAAAACACATATTGTCAGAAAGGTCTGAGTCTCAAGGTTCCACATTTTTTGACAGAATTGATATTTGGACAGAAGTGTATTAATTTGATAAGGCAGAATGTATACAACTAAATTCAATGGAATTCAATGGCACCCGGTGGCTACTTTTGGTACTACGCCTAAACAAAATCTCACGGGAACTTCAATTTTTGTGATATCAACTTCAAATTTGGAACGTAACTTGGTTAGATTTATGGCTTTGATTTTAAAAGTCATTTTAGAGTAAAGTATTTTATATAAAATAAAAAATATATAGTACAGTATATTTGATTTACTGTGAATTTAAACTTCCATAACTTTTTCATACTTTCATTTTTTGAAGTGTTTTCACTTCAGCAGTACTCTGCTGAGTTTTTCCTTTAAAACAAGACCAAACTATGGGTATATATTCCAAAGCATTCTTGAATTACAACCATTTCAGTGTGAATAGTGCATTTTAACATTTTTAAAAAGGGGGGTGACAGCTAAGGGGTTAAGTCTTGCCATTTAAAAAATTCAAACTATTTTAAAACCATTCAAGGCCATGAAAACAAAAAACAAGGGTTCTCTTTCTTATCTTGCGCTTGAACAAACAAATACGCATACAATTGTCAATCCTCGTAAACAGGTGAACATAAACAGTTGACAGAGAAATTGGATGTGTATCAATATTTTGGATCCATTCACTAGGTCTTAAAGCGAGAACAGACTAATGGCGCTTTTTGTTTGGTTTTCCACTGTGTAAAAGTTGTACCTGTTCCTGCTTTCGGGTACTTTTTTTAGCATCACCTCCAGCGAGGTTCTGAGCGAGCTAAGCCGGTACTAAAATGTGACGTGAAAACAATGCCGACTGCCGATTCGTCACCGTTCACCGCGTTATCATTGCACGCGCCAGATGGAGTATCCAGAATAACCCTGCCATGTTTAAATAGTTTGGCCAGAGATAGTTTCATATGCTCACTGTCTTAATGATTTTGATTTGTTTAGGCCTGAGGATGATGATTTTGACATTGAAGAAGAGCTGCAGAAGCTGCGTCCAGTCCCTCGGCCCACACGACAGCCGGAGCTGGAGCCACGCAGCCGACGCGGTCTGGTGGGAGACCCTCGGGTCACTGTCATTCCCGAGGACGCAGGGCCTGGAAACAGTGACGACGAGGACGAGAGCGATTCTGACGGACCCATTAATTACAGAGATGATGATGAGGAAGATGATGAGGAGGAGGATGTTCCCACAAGTAGGAGGCTTTCATTCTGACTGACTAGTCTAATTGTGATTTAGGAATGTTGTACTAGAATGTGCATAGACAGTCAGCACTTTAAAAAAATGAAACAGTTGAATATGGTGTTCAATGTAATATTTGGTGGCTCAGTGTAATATTTTTTTGAAAGAAATTAACAATATTATTAAGCAAGGATGCGTTAAATTGATCAAAAGTTACAGTAAAGACATTCATAATGTTAAAAAATATATGTCAAATTTTTAAAATTTCTATTCATTAAAGAATACAAAAAAATTTTTTATCACGTTTACACAAACTGTTTTTAACATTGATAATCATTAAAAAAAAGGTCTTAAGCTGCAAATCTGCATATTAAGTTCCCATTAAGCATTCTGCTCGCACCAAGATTGATAACTAACTTTAAATGCTCGAACCTCAATATCTTTAAAGCAGAAAGGATTCTGATTGGCTCTCAATATTTTTTATTTTTCATCAGCTGGTAAAAAAAAGAAAAGAAAAATGACTATATTGATCCTCTGTTGTCAATATCATTATAGCTGTGGTGTGAACACATTTAAAACGATCGTCAAACGATTAATCGCATCCGAAATAAAAGTTTGTGTTTACATAATATATGTGGGTACACTGTGTATCATTATTTTGTATGTGTATTTAAGAAAAAAAAAATTATATATAAACTATTTATATTTAATATAAATTATATATTTATATTAATAATTATTTATATATATATAATTATTTATATTATTAATTTATATATATAATTTATTATATGAATTATTTATAATTTAAATTATTTAATATATATATATATATATATATATATATGTGTGTGTGTGTGTGTGTATTTATATATATATACACACAAAATAATTCTACACAGTGCACCCACATATATTATGTAAACACAAACTTTTATTTTGGATGCGATTAATCGTTTGACAGCCATAATTAAAAGGCATAAAAGTAAATGTGATGGATTAATGGTGTAATCTCTTTTCTAGCTAACAGATCTCAGAGCATTTTTAATCATCTTTGTGTTCGATCATGAATGTTACAACTTTGTTCACACAAGTTTGTGAAAACACCTAATGAGGATTATGGGTGCATCTTGTCAGGTGGTCTTGCGAGCCGTGTGAAGCGAAAGGATACTCTGGCGCTAAAGCTGGAGCGTCAGCAGGAGAAAGAACAGTCCGAGGACCCGGAGAACATCGCCTGGAACAACAAAGAGCAGTGGGAAGCCGTCCGCAACAAGATCAGCTCCACCCTCACCAGGTCTGCCGCTGTTCAGACGGCTTTTATGGGGTCTTTGTCCTTTCCACACTGACACTGTGTGTATTTTGTGTTCTGTATGTTCTCAGGAGGTTGAGTCAGAGACCCTCCGCACAAGAACTCGAGCAGAGAAATATCCTACTAGGTCAGTTACACCCCTCGTCTTCTAGTCCTCCGTAGTATTTGTGGTATTTTCTCAATATCTGCATGTTCTTCCGTCTCAGCCAAGAACGAAGCGGACCGACGGGCAGAAAGGAGCGAAATCAAGCGCAGGCTGACCAGAAAGGTTTGAAGGCACATTCATTACTTGACTAAGTTTGTCATGAAAACCACTAAAGTCTTAACTCTTGTGCATCAATTAAAAAGAGGACAAAAATGTCCATGTCATAAGAATGTGACCCTTTTGAGCACAGACTTAAGTTTGGTATCATTTTAAAGAAGACCCTTTGCAGATTATTGCTGAAGTAAAAAAAATAATAATAAGTAAATCCAAAAAAAAGTTATATATGTATAAGTTTATGAAAATTATTTATAAAAAATATTTTATAAATCAGGTTGAACTCAAAACTGCAATAAAATCAAAGCCATAAACCTAAATAGGTTGTGTTCCAAATTTGAGGATGATATCTCAAAAAATGAGCTTTGGGTAACAGTTTGTTTGGGCGTAGTAACATATTTTCCCCATTGGGTGGCAGCAAAACCCCACTGCAGCTCACAGTGATTGGATTTGTTATTTGCAGTTTTTCTCTCTCAGTATTACAAACACACACACACATATTTTTTTTATAACACACATACTAACCACACTCTGACATCCATACCAACACACCCACACAAATATTGTTAGATAATTTGTCCAGTTGGCTCTATAATATGCCGAAGCAGAAAACAGGAATAAAGCCATATTTGTTTTATAGGCCAAACTTTAAAAAAATGGCACCATATAGTAAAAAATAAAATTTTGAAGCCTTGCCATCAGAATGAAAGCCTCTTAACAAAGATTGCATAATTTTATAGTTAACTAAACCGGGGATTAAAAATGGCAGTTTTCAATGAAGACATTTGTGTCCAAAAGGCGCTGAGAGGGAGTATTTTTTGTACCTAATGCAAAACATTTTTTTTTAAGAAAAAGACGGTGAAATAGTAAAATTCCAATAAAAATACACACCTGTGGCAAGTTTTTTGCAGTTAGCTTTAACACAGGCAAAGTGATCAAAAAAACAAAACTGAAAAGGACAAAAATGTCCATAAGGATGCACAAGGGTTAAGTTTTTGTATATCCTAGTTCGGGGAACAGACAAGTCTCTATCTGATGATATCTAGGTGAAAGAGTCTCTGTGACGTGCATGATGTGAAAGTAAATGTTGTGTCTGTACATCTGCAGTTGTCACAGAGGCCCACGGTCGCTGAGCTCCAGGCCAGAAAGATCCTGCGCTTTCATGAGTATGTGGAGTGCACTCATGCTCAAGACTATGACCGGCGTGCGGACAAACCCTGGACCAAACTTACACCTGCTGACAAGGTCTGGTTCTCCTCTGCCCCCTAGTGGCGACCGATATAAGATCAGTTCAGTTTGGACTGTAGTTACATAAAACAATTGCACATAATTGGGCTTTTTTTAAATGTTGTAATTTTACTGATTGTATACTGTTTTATTTTGTTGCACTTTGGGATTTTTATCTGTGAAAAGTGCTCTATAAATAAACTTTACTTACTTACATAATTGCAGTCTAATAAAGCAAGTCCTCTTTGCCAAACACAGAGTTCAGAGACTGTTGAGTTGTCCACATGACATCATCATTAAGATGTAGTTCTGTAAGTTCTGAGTGTTCAGGTTGTGCTTTCTCATTACTCTTGTGTTCGTTGTTCTCCTCTAGGCGGCCATTAGAAAAGAGTTGAACGAGTTTAAGAGCTCAGAAATGGAAGTTCATCAGGAAAGCAGGATATACACCAGGTCTGATATACACTTTCAGCACTTTTTTAATTCACATTTTATGCCTGGATCTTATATACACTTAATTCAGATCTTCATTTATATCTGTATCAATAGCACCATTTAAATAGTTGGATCAGCAAGTGTCTTCTGCATGCAGTATTATTACAGTAAAAATTGTGAAACATTATTAAATAAAATAAATTCTGTATTCTTCGAGCGATCCTTTCATGCTTCTGCTCCTCCGTGAGAGATCCGAAGTGTCGCTCATTATCAATCATGAGTTGGCCTTGTGCCTCTTTCCCACGACCCTTGACCTTGTCCTATGCCACATGTATTTTAATTAGGGCTGTGCAAAATCTAATTGCGATGAATCGCATCCAAAATAAAAGTCTGTGTTTACATAATATATATGTGTGTGCTGTATAGAATTATTTTGTATATATAAATACACACACATGCATGTATATATTTAAGAAAATGTGTTATTCATATATAAAATATTTATATTTATATAATATAGATTATGTATTTATAAATATATACAGTATTTATATAATATATACATGCATGCATAGTTATTTATATATACAAAATAATTTATATACAGCACACACAAATATATTATGTAAACACAGACTTTTATTTTGGATGCGATTAATCGCAATTAACTTTTGCACAGCCCTACTTTTAACGCATTCTTGGTGTCACATGATCATTCAGAAATCATTTGAACATGCTGCTCAAGCAACATTTTCATTGTTATTATTCTTGACAACAGTTGTGCTGCTTAATATTTTTGTGGATACTTTCCTGATACCTTTTTCAGGATTCTCTGATTAATAGAAAGTTCAAAAGAACAGCATTTATTTAAAAAATGGAAATCTTTTGTAACATTATTAATGCATTTACTGTTATTTCTGATCAATTTATTGCATTTTTGCTCATCTCAGATACTGACTAAGCTACTTAAAAAAATTATATATAAATATATCAGATACGGACCAAGCTATTTATAAAATATTTATAATTAATATATATATATATATATATATCATTTATATATATATATATATCATTTATATATATATATATATATATATCATTTATATATATATATATCATTTATATATTTATATATATATATATATATATATATATATATATATATATGAAGAGTTCAGATGCAAAAGCCTCTAAATGCCATTTGAAATTTTCTTCTTTAATGAGGATTTTTATCAAACTTGTATATTTAAGTTCAGTAATTTCACTTGTTATTTAAGTGAATTTACTGAACTTAAATATACAAGTTTGATAAAAATCATCATTAAAGAAGAAAATTTCAAATGGCATTTAGAGGCTTTTGCATATGAACTCTTCATATATATATATATATATATATATATATATATATATATATATATTATTATATTTTATTATTTTTTTATTGCACTGACCCTTTTATCACCGAAACTTTTAAATGGTAGTATACACACACACACAAAAAAAAAATCATTTAACAAAATGAGAAATGCAGAAATGAAATAGTTTAGGAGGGCAGCCACCGTTTTATTCCCAGACTTCCTTTTTTCCCTGAATAAAGGCTATAATTAAAATAATCTGCATGTGACCATATGATCATTGTCAGTAACCATCACATGGACTGAATGTGCAGTGCAGAAATGTAATTTCTTCTTTCAATTCCGTTTGCAGGTTTCATCGGCCATAATCTGCATCGCTCGAGAGGAAACCCTAGACAGATAAAAGCCTCCATCTTTCCCATGATCCTCCAGCGAATACCGATGAGTGCTCAGGCCAGCTGCTCAGTTCTCGAGAGTGATAAGGAGGAGGAAGTGATGTGGGTGTGATGTGCAGGACGCTGGTACACTTTTGGACCGCAGGTTTGAAGTGCCAGCTCTCTGTAGAGTTCCCATGATTCCCATGGCCGGATCACTTTGTTGGAGTGTTTCAGGGAAGAGAGGACACAGAACTGTGTGAATTGGGGGTGTTTTAATATTCTTTATGGTACACACATTTCTGTGATCAAGAATAGGCGTGTGTACTCAAACAATAATAGGCTACTTTTATGGAAATTATGACACTGGTGATAAACATTTTTAGTGGCGAGTGATTGTGAGAGACTGTGTGTGTGTGTATGTGTGTTTATAAATGCTGTCCACTCATGCCTTAACACTGGTACACAATGACTTTTTTAGGCTGACCTTAGAGTAATACAGAAGAAAGTCTGCGTATAACACTGTTTCTCACCCTGAACACACATCAGTGTGTGTGTGTGTGTGTGTGTGTGTTGATCTGAAAGCTCATCTTTGACATTCTCAGGACGTCAGCACACGGGGTCACTTTCAATGTGCATTTTACTGTAAATTACCATCATTTTGTGCTTTTTCACACAGATTAAACCACCCTCTTTAATATTATTTTAACAACACAGCACTTCACTTTAGATATTTCATGTTTAATCAAACAAAAACTTGCAATATTTTACCCCAGAATCATAAGAAAAATACATTTTTGACATGAGGAAAATTAAGCCTCGAAACCATTAAGGTTTTTAGCATTGTGATGTGATTTTTGTGACATTTAAGTACGTTTTCCCCCAAATGTTCTCATTGTAATGTGTTGTAACTTTCTTTCTACTTTTTTTTCTCAATGGTAAATCTTGTTACTATAATATATATTTTGTATTACAATGCAATACTGTAATTTAATTTTTTTTTCATATTAGCATGCATTTAAAACTTTTTTATCACACTACCATAATGGAAACTACATTTGTTTTCATATTACTGATTTATTTTTTATTTTTATTTTTTTTTCACAATGCCAAAAATTTTAATGTTCTTAAGCTTCATTTTCTTTAGGAAAAACATTATTTCTTTTCTCTTTTTTTATTGTATTGTATTGGGGTGAAATATGACAAGTTTCACAAGATTCAGCTGTAAATGATGATATAGTTCATGAACAATTTAAAACAGAATGGTTGATGTTACATCATGGAGTCTTTGTGAAAAATCTTTGACTGGTACGTAAAACTGAATTATTTCCCATGTCCCTGCTGGTTTTGTGGTACACTTGTTTTGTAGGCCACCAAGAGGGCCTGTGCACTGTATAGAGACATGCTGTAGATTGATTAAATTGTGTATCTCGTCTTCCTGACATCAAACATTTGTTTTAATTGTAATTATAGTATTACACTATCCTGTTTTTATAAGGTGCAAACAGTATGGCTACAGGTTAAGTGATATAATAATCTGATACAGAACAGCTGTATTGTTATTTTTTTAAATGTAAAGGTATTTTAAAAAGGTCTTTCATGTAATACATGTACATTCACTTCACCATTAATTAAAAACCCAAACTGTGAGTATCATTTGCTTCATTTATTTACATGCTTTTTCTTCAGCGATGGAGTCTTGCGTGGTGAGGTCTTTTTGAAGCTCTCCACAAGTGATCCTCCTTGGCTCTTGGACAACTCTTCTGATTATTCTTTTCACTTCTCTGTCAGAAATCTTGCGAGGAGCACCTGGTCGAAACAAATTTATGGTGAAATATTATGGGGAACATTCAGAAGCTCAGAAATGCGCCTATAATAACCAATGCCGTCACTGTGTTAGGTTGCGAAGGTCTTGACACATCCTGTCGTGGGATGTGTCTTGTGTGACAGCTTGGCAATGAGTCCGTTTTGTAGGCCATCAGTTGAGACTGAACCAGCTGATATTAATTTGTGCTGACAAGGGTCTGGATTGCTTTTTAATTGCTGATAGTTTTCAGCTGTCGTCTTGGCTTTCCATGCTTTTTCCCTGTGTCATTTCACATTATTACACATAACTTTACTTCTGAACTGCTTTGTTTTGGTTTCTTTGTATGTATGGATTACTTGGTGAAAATTTCATGTCAATGGCTCCTTTGGAAATATATTTACTGAGAAAAATGGTGACGTGTTCAGTACTTATATTCTGCAAGAGTTGTAAAAATATGATCAATTTCAAATGATCGCCATTTATTTATTTATTTATTTTTTTTTTTGCTTTTTATTGAACATGAACATCAGCATCAGTGAACATCAGTGTTAACAAAGACATTTTAGTTCCTTTTTTTTCCTCCCCTTTATCCCTTTAATGCAACCCCCCTCCCAGGAAAAAAAAAACCCAATAATAATAATGATAAATAAATAAATAAATAAAAATTGTATTCTTGTTGCATCTTGTTTAAATCGTGAAGTATCAACAGTCGTGTCTGTTTCGTCTCAGTTAAATCTCTTTTTATGTGCACTCGAAAGCTTTTGAAATGTTAATTAATGAGCTTGGCAAAGAGGGAGACCATTGTGGCTCCCTTATTGATATGTTTATGAACAGCCCACCCATCATGACATTTTAAACTTTTCTTGTGTCATGAATTTTAAGTGTCTTTCCACTGCTCTCCGAACACCTCTGTCTCGCACGGTTAAAGTCACTTGTTTATGGCAAGCCGTTTAGCATTGAATACATCTGGCTCAAGTCATAATTTAGTTTTGACTAGTAAGATTTCCTGCAATTTTGACTTAATTGGAATTAAGATATCTACGTGATTATAACTAGTCATATAATGCATAATGTAAAAGAATAGATATCTGGACTTGACTAAATTATGAGGGGTTAGAGCCAGGGGTATAACTAAAACAGTTTGCCATACATCTCTTGTGTGTTTATGGCATCATTAAAATATAGCACCTTATTCACCTTAATATCAACCCTTTATGACTTAGGCTACTTTCTTCTGTGAAACATAAAATATAATATTTTGAGTAGGGCTGTCAAACAATTAATCGCGATTAATCTCATCCAAAATAAAAGTCTGTGTTTACATAATATATGTGGGTGCACTGTGTATAATTATTTTTTATATATGTGAATACACACACATGCTTGTATATATTTAAGAAATATTTTCATGTATACTATATATAATTTACATTATATGGAAATTAAATATTTTACAGCCTATATAAATAATGTTTTTTTCTTAAATATACATGCGTGTGTGCATTTATACAAATAATGCCCTAATTATGCCCTAATTATGAGAAATGTAATGTAATTATGAGAAATTATATACAAATTAAGCCCTAATTATGAGAAATGTTTTCGTACAAACAAATGTCAACGGTTGGCAACATTCAGCAAAATATCTTTTGTGTTTTGCAGAAGAAAGAAATGCAGATATATCATCAAAAATGATAGAAATTTCGTTTTTGGTTGAAATATCCCTTTAAAGATGACAGTTTAGTTTAAGGACAGAAGGAGAAAGATAGAAATATTTTCAACACTGCAAATGTTAGGGGGTTTAGGTTAGTTATATCATAACACTTGTCATAGAAAAATATTTTCACCTTTTATGAGTATAATGAGCCATCACATCCGTGGTACTAAACAGGATCAACTGAGAGCTATATGATAAAAAAAGGCTCATTGAAGTTCCTTTTCTACTTTTTATTACACCACAGGTAAGCGGTATTAAGCTTCACCCTGCAGAGTGCTTGACTGTCATCTGATTCATTCCTAATTACAGAGGCAAAGTCAGATTGCAAGAGAGCATAGTAAAGATGAAGGAGAAAATAAATATGTGAAGATGAAAGGAAATAGAAAAGTGAAAAGAAAAGTTTGATTTCATATTCCCATATGGTTTATAGAATCAGTGCGTCTGTGGACTGATTGTAGCGATGGAGGTGGGCGTCCCTTTTTCGGTTTAATTTCCAACTGTCTGACAGCATCCATAAACATTCAGAAAATTTTGATTTGACTGTAGACATAATGGGAAAGTTTCTTCATTCAAAACAGAACAGCAATTGGTTTTGTGCTAGTATAAATATAAATATTATAACAAAAAAGATCATTTTGACTCAAAAGCAATGAGTTGCTTGTAAAATCAAGATAAACGCATCGTAACTGCACAGTCTACAGTCAATTAATGGTAACCATAAACTGTTTACAGCTATGGCCCGTATGTAAAGCTGCTTTGAAATCATCTATATTGTTAAAAGAGCTAAATGAAGGTGACTCGGCTTTAGGTTTAATAAAAGGGTTATGTATGAGCACTGCGGCCGGCCATATATTTCGTTCCTCTTCGATTTCGGCATTTTTCATCAATTTTCACCAAACAGTCGACAAGTGAAAATCAGAGCTAAAACTGTGCAGTGCGTACCCACCAATAGATATGACAAGGTCAAATGCAATATCAACATAAGAGTCAAATCTCATCTGTGACACCAACGCTTCAAATGGAGGACTTGTCAAAACCTCAGATCATCCACAGTCTCACCTCACACTTAAATGGCAAAGACAAACTATTTATGGGCTCTTGCTCCTCAGCGCTGGCTGCCACATTCTGCTTAAGCGAAACTAGGGTCACACTCGAAAAAAAAAAAAAAAACACTTTTGTGCAAAGTGCTTTCTTTAGAGGTCAAAACAAGTCCAGTCTTCAGCCTGGGATAGAAAATCACTGAGCCCCGAGCCAGAGAAAGAAGGTTTCAGAAGCTCCCCAGGAGAAGCAACAAGAGATCAAGATCCAGGCCTTAGCGGTAACACTTCTCTAAATGATTTCATTTATTTCAAAGACCCTTGCAGCCCATCACAGCAAAAGAACCAAAAATCACAAAGACACTGAAGTAAACACGAAAAAAATGACAATTTCAAGCTCTTTCTCTCTTCTATGCACACACACTTACAGACACTTCCACACACACAGATGAAAAAAAATAAAGCTGCCCAGAAACTTTATCATAATTATCAACAAAATCGGTCTTCTTAGTAGCAAGATTGTAATATTGTTATTTTTTAAAATTAGTTAAAGGGGTGGACATCGGGCCTCGTTTTCAAGTGAGTTTTAGTGTTATTTATCAATGGAGACAGTTTAAAAATATCCATCAAGTCGTCCGAGTTGGGTTAGTTCGCCGGTGCTAGGCTAGCGCGAGTCAACGGTAAGTTTTAGCATACCATTAAAATCAGTTTTACCCACTCCACAGTTCACCAAAAGCAAAACGATATAACGCCAGATTATCAATGTAAGTGTTTGTGTAGAGAATAATGTTAGAAATCTATCTTTTTCATCTCAATGATTGCGTTACATTTGCAGGTACTAGTTTCTCAGCAGCGGCGGAATTATACTTCACTCTGTTTAGTAGTAACGCTAACGTTACTGCGTCAAAACGTAAACACAGAACAGAAGCGACAGTCGGGACGTCTAGCTAGCTAGCAATTTTGGATTATTTCTGCGGGCTTGGACAAGGAGACAAAATTGAGGATTTGCAGTGACCATTTTAGACCAGACGACTTTAAAGAACCATTTCATCGAAACGGTCAAAGGTTTATGACAAGGACTGCAGTCCCGTCTTTCCAGATGCACCAACAGCTACAGTACAGGTAATATTTTTTGTTAGGCTACTCTAGCTACGTTAGTGGAGAATACGTAAGTTAATAGTTCAATGTATTTTGTAGAGTGACAGACCGTAAAACTTCAAATAAAAGCCAAATCCTAACACGCCTGGTGTGGCTCACGGCTTCTCACAACACATCATAAATTAATAAAATTATACTCTGTTTCTGTAGTGATGAGTGTGCGGCAGGTAAATACCGATGGTAAAATACATTTGTCTCGGTTGCCTTGGTAACTTCATATCACTTCGCCGCTGCTGTTGTAATAAATTAAACAATTAAACAATATAGCTATTGCAATGCAATGAAAGGATAGTTTGATTTCTAACATTATTCTCTACACAAACACTTACATCGATAGTCTGGCGTTATAATTGATTTGCTTTTGGTGAACTGTGGAGTGGGTAAAACTGTTTTTAATGGCATGCTAAAAGTTACCGTTGACTCGCGCTAGCCTAGCAATGGCGAACTATGCAACTCGGACGACTGGATGAATTTTTATTAAACTGTCTCCATTGATAAATAACACTAAGGCTCTCTTGGAAATGAGGCCCGATGTCCAAAATTCCAAACCACCCTAAACATACATATTCGCTGTTAGGACAAAAACCTGAAAAGACAAAATACCTGAGATGTTGTAATCATGATATAAGAAGACCAGTCCACTATAATTGACTGTTTGGATTGTAAAATGATTGGGGAAAAATCCACTTAGCTTCATTTTGTGGTTTGATTACCATGCCATTTATCAATAATTGAATTTATTATTTTGTGAGTTTGGGGTTTCATGGAGTTACTTGAATGTACACAGAGTAAGAAGATGAAAACCACTGCACTTCTAATATTACATGACCAGGTAAATACTACTGACTTTGTTATAAGCGTGAGTTATTCATCAAATAGTGCAGCTTGATGAGGAAAGGTGTGCTATTACTATTTTAAACAATTGTACAACTTT